GGTCCTACTCAGTAACCTGATTAACATTCTAGTGTGACTCCTGGGTCCTACTCAGTAACCTGATTAACATTCTAGTGTGGCTCCTGGGCAGAGATGATTGGTCCTACTCAGTAACCTGATTAACATTTTAGCTTGTCTCCTGGGCTGAGAGGGCAGTGAATGTTTTTACCTTTTCCTGTTCATCCTGACAACATGTCCAAAGTACAAGAGGTGAAGCCTCTCCATCCTTTCTTTTAAGGAGCATTCTAATTGTACTTCTTCTAAGATACATTTGTTTGTTTGTGGTATTTTCAATATTCTTCTCCAATGTCATAATTCAAATGTACTGATTCTTCTTTGGTCTTCCTCATTCTTTGTTCAACTTACACATGCATATGAGGAAATAGGCTATACCATGGCCTGGGTCAGGTGCACCTTAGTCCTCAAAGTGAGGACTTTGTTCTTTAACACTTTAATGAGGTCTTTTGCAGCAGATTGGCCTAATGCCACATGTCTTTCGATTTCCTATCTGTTGCTTCCATGAGTGTTGATTGAGGATTCTAGCAAAATGAAGTCTTTGCTCACCTTCATCTTTTCTCTGTCTGTCATGATGCTATTTACTGGTCATTTCTACACAGGACTCTGCAAATTATGTAACCTACCCGGGGATCAGGGACCTCATTTCCTACCCAGTGAGAGCATTCAAACGCTGGCCACAGGCAGGAACTCACTTAATGAATTCATTAGCAAAATCACAGATTCACAGACAGCCAGTTACAGACAGGCTGCAGGGAGCTGGCCTGTGTCTGTCAGTGTCCTGGGTTGGTGGGTGGGAATAGTGTATGTTGTTGGGAGGCTGTCAGGGACTGTACTTCCTAGGGAGGAGTTGATGTGGTTTTCTCATGAATTGATCCCACATCTCTTCCTCAGGTGCTGTTTCACCCCAACAGTGGGGCGGCGGGAGAGTATGGAGCCCTGAACACGGTGCGTCTGGAGCAGTACAAGGCTTTCTTTGTCACCGGTGAGTTGGAACCCCTGGCTGGGCCCAATCCCTGACTGGACTCTTATTCCCTGTCGGCACCCAGGGAGCTCTCAGCACCTCTGATGGTGTCCCCTGAGACCCTGGGCCTGACAGAAGGGCCCAGCACTGATCCTAAGAACCCACAAATACTCCAACCGGACCCTTCAACTGTTGTGTGAAATTTCCCAGCAGTCTCAGAGCTAGTTTAGCATATGGATACCGCGTTTCATTAACTGTCACTTTGCCTGAACAGGAAATAAAAGTTTGGAGACATTTTAACGAGCCATTTACTACAACAGGTTCAGAAGATAGACTTGAGATACCTACTTAGAAAACTGACAGAGGTCTTTCTACTGCATGGGTCCCTCTAGAACTTTCTTAAATGTCTGTGTATTTTAGAAACATAACATCGGGCGAAACACGCTATGGTCTGTGGACTGAATTCAGACTTTCTCCATCCTGGGTTCTCCCACTTTACCAGCTTTATTTCTCCCATCTTCCTTGGCCTCCAGTGAAAACCTCTTTGGGCTTGAAAGGCCCCCAGTCAAAGGCCACTTTGCTCATAACATTTCCTCTCATTTTTCCAGCTGGGTAGGATTTCCCCTCTTCTGATGGGAGGGAGAGAGCTGGTATTTGTCACATTCCGCCATATATGTTGTTCCTCTTGGTTGCCATTTTGTCTGCGCCAACTCATGGCAGCCCTCAAACCACCACACAGACCAACGATTCATATACCTGTTTCATTTCCTCCACTAATTCTCAGCTCGCTCAACTCAGAGATCCTTATGTTGTTTAATCTTTGTTGTCCCGAAGTGCCTGTCACACACACCTCGCACGAACTCAAAACATAACTTTAATGAATGCAAACAACACGCAAGAAGCAAAATAAAATCTGGGCTCTGGTGTGAATTCCAATTCAATTCTGTGGTTTAAAGTTAGAGCTTTAAAAATAATTCTATAAGAAAGAACAAAGATTATTTTCCTAAGTGTAAATAAATTATCTCTAAGAAACCTGGCCTAAAAACAAAATACATTCTCTGAGTTCAGATCATGAGGGATATTAAAAATGTCACAAGAACCTTTGATTCTCCAAACCTAAAATATGAACCAGTAAGGTATTTATTACGCTTTCAGACAAAAAGTTTCTCCATCTGAGCCCTTACATTATCTAAGAGGCATGGGATCTCCAGGTTGAGTTAATTTCAGAAAGAATAACTCTGCCAGAACACCCTTGGCACCATAACACTGGGATCCTAATGTTGCTATGAAGTCATAGGGCTGTTTAGAATGATCAGACAAACATGAAAGTTCCAGAAGGGCTGTTCTTCAGCGTGGTCAATCCCAGGAGAATCAGTGTGGGACGGAGACCTGAATAGTAATGATGCCTCTCTTCCCCACCTTTTAACATTTGCATCTTAATGATTTGAAATTGCTTTCTGATAAGCTGGAAAATGGATCCACCACTTGTCTGTCAATGTGTGGCTTCTGTGTGGCTGTGATGATAAAAGCTATGCTGGCAATATTTTAAATACCTGCGGGGTCACCCATGGTAGGAAAGTTTCAGCAGAGCTTTCAGACAAACTAGGATGAAGGGGAAAACTAATTCTGAAAGTTTAGTCACTGAAAACCTTATGAATAGCAGTGGAACGTTATCAGATATAGTGCCGGAAGATGAGCCCCTTGAGTTGGAAGGCACTCAAAATACCTGCTGGAGAAGAGTTACTCCCTCAAAGTAGAGTTGACCATAATGATGAAGTTGGAACAGGACCTTCATTTTCTGATGGGGGCATAACTCAAAATGAGAAAAAGCAGCTGCAAACATCTATTAATAATCAGAACATGGAATGTACAGAGTATGAACCCGAGAAAACAGAAAGTTGTCAAAAATGAGATGACACATATACTGATCAATATCTTACGTGTTAATGAGCTGAAATGGATGTTGATCATTTTGAATCAAACAGTTGTTTGAGTAGATCAAGGGGATACCGAATGGTTTGAAATCAGGGAAAGTAAGACTCTAGACTCATGGAAAGAGAAAGGCTGTGTGCTGGTGGCCAGGAGGCAGGCTTGAAGAATGTGTCCTTTGATTGTTCAAATGACTGAATATTCCTGAGTGTTTTTCTGTACACACACACCCCCCAACAAAACAACAACAGCAACACAGAGGGAATAGAAGCAAATACTGTTGAATGATGATGCACGGAGGCAATTGTAATCATTGCAATGAAATGATGAATGTAAACTATCACTCAATTCACAATAAAAACTTAAAAAAAATCAGGGAAGGTATGCACCAGGGTTGTATCCTTCCGTGTACTTATTTGATCTGTATGCTGAGCAAATAATCTAAGAATCTGGGTTATATAAAAAAGAATGTGCCATCTGTATTGAAGGAAGACTCATTAACAATTTGTAATATGCAGATGACACAACCTTGCTTGCTTAAAGTGAAGAGAACTTAAAATATTTACTGATGAAGATCAAAGACTACAACCTTCAGTATGGGTTGCACCTCAATGCAAAGAAGACAAAAATCCTCACAACTGGATCAATAAATAACATTATGATAAATGGGGAAAAGATTGAAGTTGTCAAAGACTTCATTTTGCTTGGATCCACAACCAACACTCATGGAAGCAGCAGTCAAGAAATCAAACGATGTACTGCATTAGGCCAATCTGCTTCAAAAGACCTCTTTAACGTGTTCAAGAGCAAAGACGTCACTTTGAGGACTAAGGTACACCTGACCCATGGCATTTTCAATAACTTCATATGATGCATTGCATTAAGCCAGTCTGCTGCGAAAGTCTTCTTTAAAGTGTTAAAGGGCAAAGCTGTCAGTATGAGGACTAAGGTGCGCCTGACCCAAGCCATGGTATCTTCAGTGGCCTCATGTGCATGTGAAAGTTGGACAGTGAATAATATATACTGAATAATAATGCTGAAGAAGAATTGATGCATTTGAATTATGGTGTTGGTAAAGAATATTGAAAGTACCATGGATTACCAGAAGGACAAACAAAACTATCTTGGACGAAGTATATCCAGAGTGCTCCTTAGAAGCAGGCATGGCGAGACTTCACCTCTCGTCCTTTGGATATGTCCAGAGGAACCAATCCCTGGAGAAGGACGTTGTGCTTGATAGGTTCAACAAAAAAACGAAAGATCCTCAGTGAGATGGAGTGACATAGTGGTAGCAAGCCACAATTGTGAGGGTGGTTCAGGACCCGGTACCGCCTCATTCTGTTGGGTACAGGGTCACTATAACAGACTCAACTGCACCGAACAGCAACAGCATTTTACACCTCAGTTCTAGAATTTTCCTTTTATATATATGCATATATAGTTTCCCTATCTCTACTACGAGTCTTTTTAACATTGTCTTTACCATTCTGACTGTTTCTTCCTCTAAGTCTTTGAACGTATTTATAGTAGCTATTCAAGTTTAGGGACTCCTGGTGTGGCTCTGTAAGATCAGCACTCGACTGTGAACCACAAGGTTGGCAATTCAAGTCTACCAGCTGCTCCTCTGAAACCCTATACAGGGACACTATGAGTCAGAACTAACTAGACAGTATTAACAACAAAAAAATGTAGGTTCTACTAAGTAGCTTATTAAGGAACCTCGGGTAGCATAGAGGTTACGAATCAGGCTGTGAACTGCAAGGTCAGCAGTTCGAAACTACCAGCTGTTCTGCGGGAGAAAGATGAGACTTTCTGCTCCCGTAAAGATTTACAGCCTCAGAAATCCTATACAGGGTCGCACACTATCAGGAGTAAGGAGTTAGGGTTGGGGCTATGGCTAGGTCTAAGACTAAGTCTAGGATTTCGTATAGTATTAAGGTTATGATTAGGACTTGGGTTAGGGTTAAGGTTAGGAATATGGGTTGGACTAGGACTAGGGCTTGTTCTAGTTTTAGGGTTACAGTTAGATTTATTTTATCAATTTGTTTTACATATGTTTACTTAGCATTTGGATAGCCTGTGTGCAAATTGTTGTTGTTAAGAGCTGCAGAGGTGGTTCCAACTCAAAGCGACCCTGTGTAGGGTTTCTGAGACTGTAAATCTTTGCAGGAGCAGAAATCCTCATCTTTCTCCTGCTGAACAGCTGGTGGGCTCGAATCATTCACCCTGTGGTTTGCAATCCAGTGCTTATCGTACAGAGCCACCGTACTGCTTTTTGAGGCTCTCTGGAATATTCCTTGAACATACGCAATTAAGGTCAGTCAAAGATTCGAAGGGAGTTTATAGGCAGATTTGGTGGATTCCCCTCCACTTTTATCCACAGTGGCATCCATGAACTCTGTCCTGTTTCACTTGAGGGTACAGAGACCACAGCTCTGCTTAATTCCCATCATGCCCTGCTGCACAGACTGGGGAGTGCCCCAGGGGAAACACCTTGGAAAGGTTTTCTTTCAAGGATCAAATCCCTCCCCATGTCTGCATGCTACTGCTATGTGCCATCGAGTCTGTTCTGACCCATAGTGACCCTTTGTACGGTTTCTGAGGAGCAGCTGGTGATCTTGAACCACCAACTTTGCAGTTCAAACTGACTTTGCAGTGCAGTGCATTAACCCACAGCGCCACACCAGGACTCATTTTCTAGGCATTTGGGGACACTTGCATTTCTGAGAGCTGGGAGTCCTGGTATGGTGCTGTAGGATAAACACTGGAATCCAAAGTTGATATGAACCACAAAGTGGTGGTTCAAACCCACCAGCCACTCCTTGGAAAACTTACACAGGATTGTAACCAACTCGACGGCACTTAACACCAACAACAATCCTTTGCTTCAAGGAGTCCTGGTAGCTCAACAGCTAAGCACTCAGCAGTTCACCAAGAGGTTGGTAGTTTGAACCTAGCAGGCAGATCTGAGGCAGAAAGACCTGGAGATCTGCTCCTGTCAAGACGACAGTCTGGAAAACCTACGGGGGCAGTTCTACTCTGTTACACCAGGGGCGCTCTGAGTAGATGATGTATGAGTATATGTTGTTGTTGTTGTTGTTGTTGTTAAGTGCCGTCGAGTCGTGGACACAATAGATGACAACCTAGGAAACCCTCTGGGGGCAGTTCTACTCTGTTACACCAGGGGGCGCTCTGAGTAGATGATGTATGAGTATATAGTGGACACAATAGATGACAACCTAGGAAACCCTCTGGGGGCAGTTCTACTCTGTTACACCAGGGGGCGCTGTGAGTGGATGATCTATAAGAGTAGTTGTTGTGAAGCGCTGTTGAGTCGATTCCAACCCATAGCGACCCTGTGTAGGGTTTCCAAGGAGCAGATGGTGAACTTGAACCACCGACCTTGCAGTTCAAATGACTTTGCAGTTTGGTGCATTAACCCACAGCGCCACACCAGGACTACCAGTATATAGTGACACAATAGATGTCAGCCTAGGAAACCCTCTGGGGACAATTCTAGTCTGTCACATGGAGCCTCTATGAGTCAAAAATTAACAGGGAGTACCTAACAGCATCCTTTGCTTACAATTTCTTTTCTTTATTCAATTCTACTTATTTCTTTCAGTTAGGTGTATTGTTTGTATAGAAAAGACAGCAACAGCACAAGTGATCTGAATCGTTCAGAGCCAAGGCTGTCGCCATCACCCCAAACCTTCTTAACAACACTGCCAGGTTCTAAACCAAGTAAAAATTGCATCCTCAACCTAAAATGAAATTATTCACCTTGACTTTCCAACGGAATTCCGTTCAGTACTCAAAAAAAAAAAGGAAATTTCCAAAAACTGAAATTTATTTCCAAAGGGCAATGATGAAAGGTACTTGGGTGAACATTTTAGTGGCTCTGAAGACAAGTCTCAAGAGGCTTGACAATCATTTTGGGCCCCAGGAACACCTTTAGGATGAGCAGCTAGGGCAGTCTTCGACAGGGAGGGTGGTCACTTGAATATGTAAGTTCGGGCACGTGAACTAGTATCTAACCAACCACAGCTCTGCTGTCTACCGAGTTGGCTGTGATGAGGTGTCTGCTTTTCCCTAGGTGGAGCGGAAGCCTGCGATGGGAGCGTGGGGCCGGAGCAGCATCACAAGCTCCCACTTATTTTTAATCTTGAAGATGATGCCGCGGAATGTGTACCTCTAGACAGTGGTAGCAGTGAGTACCAGGCCGTGTTTCCTGAGATCAGAAGGGTTCTTACAGGTGTCCTTCAGGACATTTCTGATGACAACGTCTCCAGAGCAGATTACACTCAGGACCCTTCAGCAACTCCGTGCTGTAATCCCCACCAAGTTGCCTGCCGCTGCCAAACTCTGTAATGGGCTCATTTTTTTCAGCAGGAGGAATGTCAGGAAGTTAGGTGGGGCTGGCTCATTTCCGAATTTGTTAGTTTTGTCCCACCACGGTGGCTTGTGCATAGCTCTGATACTGGAAGCGATGCCACTGGTATTTCAGATGCTAGCAGGGTCACCCATGGTGGACAGGTTTCAGCTGAGCTTCCATACTAAGAGAGACTAGGAAGAAAGGCCTGGAAATCTACTTCTGAAAATTAGGGGAAATGCTGTGGGTCCCCATAGCACATTGTCTAATACAGTGCTGGAAGGCAACACAAGATTGAGGATGCCTTAGCAGCTGGATTCTAATTCTGACTCAGTGACATCTAACAACAGTTAGATCAGCTTTAAAAATGTCGGAGGATTTGTTTCTAAACCACCCCTTTGCACAGACCACATTGCGATTTCTCCAAGCCACATGGGTCCTAACAACTGCTGAGCCCCATTGGCCTGGAGCTGATAGTGTGTGTAAAGGAATGCACCTGGGTTTGGGAGAGACTCAGGTTCAAACTCCAGCCTTTGAACACAGGCAGTTCAACTCCTCTAAGTTTAGCTGCATTAGTAACAGCTCAGCAGGCTGGTCTTGAGGGTTAAGTAGGCAGTGGATGAACATGCTGGGACATGAGCTGGGGCAGACAAGCTGTTAGTACACAGAGTCTCGCTTTCCTCTTTTTGGTCTCACTGGCCACTTGAGCACTGATTCATTCAGCTGGTATATCCAGAGCAACTCGCCCCCATCTTTAATATGCCTAAACATCACTGGCTCCATTGGTCTGCTGTGGGCCCAAGGATTAGGGAGGATACTTTGAGTAACAATTGTAAGAAATTCTCAAGATCTTGGAGAAATATGGGCCCATGACTTTGCTAGACCAGATATAGGTTGTTGATTCATAGCTTGGGGTATGTGAGCAGGATGAATTGGGGAGGGGAAAAGAACTTTAAATAAGAATACAGCCATTAAGACCTTAGCCACCATGAGGGCTAGACTGAACTCCATACTACTCAGTGGATAGGAACTGGAGAAGGGACTCTCAAGACTGCACAGCCTTGCCGTGCATCTATCTACCTGTGTCCTCTGGGTCCAGTGCCCGGTTTGGCAAAATCTAATAAAGAAATCCTCACTGTTGCTAAAATGAGTACAGGTTGGATTTCTTGAGCGTTTGTTGGTATAAACTCGTGATAATTAATCAGTGATCTCATACCCAAGAGGAACCGAGGCAGTATCCAGGGTATTGACAAAGTTTCTCACACAATGATCTAGACAGAGTGAGACTGTTTCTAGAATATTGTCAGATAGACTGCTGAATGTTGAGCCCCCTGGGTTGGAAGGCAGTAAAACACACAGTGACCGGCTGCAGAACAGGGTTCAGGCACACCATGATGAAGACGCGCAGGATGGGGCAGCCGGTCCCTTCTGCTGTACGTGAGGTTAGAGACTCAGAGCAGACCAGCCTGCGGGTAACAAGGGCTGTGGTCCGGTCTTGGTCTCAGAGGAAACAAGGTTGGAGTCCGTGCCCCGCAACCCCCTCAAAGGCCAGATGTCTGTATTTTAAAATTTTAAGAGTTTGCCTTCCTCTTAAGCCTTCGAAGAATAAATAGAACATAAATAAATATATTAAAAACTCAAAAATGCATTGCAACATGATTTTATTATTAGTGTCCTAAATGGGACTCAAAAGTAATACATGATTTATTCCAATCACTGCAAAAAATCTTCTGCCTGGCTAAAATAGTCTCTCTTCTTATATCTGTATATAATGTACAAGAAATACAATTCAAAGGTTTTTCCTATAAAGTGTTTCTTTTTACACAGCGTACATTTAAAAAGGATGCCCTTTCTAGTATAAAATTCTGGTTATAGACCAATATGGTTAGTTAGCATTTACACGATGGTTTTAACATATTTCAAACAGCGTAAGTGTGCGACTGTTGGCCGTGCCCACTGGCACCCAGGGTTGAGGGGCATTTGGTGAGGGTTCACCTGTCCTGGGGGTTAGGCGGCGGCACACACGCATTGCCTGCCCCCTTTTCTGCTCACACAACCGCGCCATTCTTCCACCTGGTTTTCTCCAAAACCACCTGACAGGGGTGTCCTGATTTCTGACATCTGCTGCTCATCATGACTGCTTCGATCTGCCCTTCTGACTTCCACGGCACAAGATTATCTACCAAAATCAAAACAGAGCGGCCTTACTCTTTCCGGGAAAGGCTGTTAGGAAGGTTGTGTTAGCAACAGATCTGACCCACATGGGGTCAGTGGGGAGAGACTGGCGCTGTGTGGCATGTCCGCCTGTCCACTGCCTGGCTTGTGGCCACAGAGAATCCACCATATGGCGGTTTCAGAAAATACTGACTGTATCTATATATACATACATACATACAACACGCGTGTGTTTGCGTGTATTTTTTGTAAAAGGCTCATCTTATGTGTAAACACAGACTGCTAATTCGTTTTCCATAAAATCAGTAAGTATTCTTGGTCCCAAGGTTCAGATGCTGCTCAGAAAAGGCAGTGACTTGTAAAATAATGCTTGTTACCGAGGCAAACAACAGATGCTCCTCTCCTAACAGGGCACCTTTCTAAGGTACTGGAAATGCCCAATTATGTTTTCTCTCATTGTTCTTGAAGCTGAGTGGTCCGATTCAGGGATGTGTTACCAGGACCCAAGGGGCCCTAATGACACAGTGGTTAAATCGCTGAGGCTTCCAAGCTACAGGTCGGCGGTTTGAATCCACCAGCTGCTCAGGGGAAGAAAAGACCTGGGGATCTACATCTGTAAGGTGCTGGTCTTGGGGACCCCGTGGGGCGGTTCTATCCTGTGAGCCGAGGGTGGCTGTGAGCCGAGCTGATGTGGCAGCCACAGTAACAAACCCTGCTCTTAAAGGCAAAAGCTCAGGAAGGATGTGCTGTATCTGAGCCCTGCTGTGCATTATCCAGGAAGCCTGTGCTTATCTCTCCAAGAGAAGTGATTTTAATCCAGAGATTCTCCCAAGTCTTTCCAGAATCACAGGAGTTTTTAAAAGTTGTCACTGAAAACGTGGACTCTATACTAATATTTGTGGTGTTGTTAGGTGCCATTGAGTCGGTACTGATTCATAGCGACCTTATGCACAGCAGAACGAAACATTGCCCGAATGGGGTACAAAGTCAGAGACAGGTTTACTAGCAGCTCCGGGTGAATGTCTCTGCCCACAAGGATGTGTACCAAGATGTCCATGTGGCCAGACCACCCGGGGGGTGTTCCTTTCCTAGCTGGTGAGATGAGGAGCCTGCCTGGGACCTGGCGTCCCCACCCCACTGCAGCAGGAACACTGACCTCCATAACGCCAGCACCCCACCGCCTGCTAATGTCTTTCATGAGTCCCTCAACTGAAAGGTTGGGTGCTCGAAGCTATCAGAGGTGCCTTGAAAATCCCGTGGGGTGCAGTTCTAGTCTACACACATGGGGTCACCAGGGGTCAGAATCAACTCAATGAAACTTTTTTTTTTTAACCCTTAGAGACCTTTGTTTAGTGACCAAAGATCTTGCTGGAAGGAAGTATTCCCTGGGTATAAATAAATACAAATCCCTGAAGCGATTTAAACCCATGTTCACTCCTTTGGTCTGGAGAGGGAGGCAGGACAAATGGTGCCCACCCAGCTTCTGGGCTGTGGGCAGAGACCTACTACTTAAGTACCTACAGTTTCTGTTCCCCAAACCTAATGCCTACTCCTTTCACACAGGTTTTCTTTGGCAAGAAACCACTTTGTAAAATGTGGCTCCCCAAAGTGCCCCTGTTCTGCACACAGAAGAGGTGGTGAGGTTAGCTGACCCATTGAGAAGATCACTCAATCACTGCAGATGCTTTCAAAGCAGCCCCAGGCTGTGACCCAAGGTGCTGGAGTGGAACCTAATGAGTGTCTAGGTCGCTAAGCCTCAGCGGAGCAGGCTGGGCATGCTCCTCCCTACTGCATCTGACGATCAAAACTCTACATTTGGTATGCACATCCAGTCCAAGGTTTATTTATTTGGGGCGGGGGGGGGGGGGGGGGGGGGGGTCTCAGAGACCCTCTTTGTGGCTAGTTGGGGCCCTAAGAAGTCAAAGGCAAAACTGAATGATCACTGGGCAGCCAGTGAATGGACAGTTGTTAGTTTATAATTATTATTTCTAAGACCCACTGAGCCTCACCACTGGGAAAGAAAATGGACTTGTTGGCATTGCATTTGGTAACTTGCCTCCGAGGAAATAGAAAGTTACATCTCAGCCCCAAATGAGGCCGGGTGCCATACAGCCCTCTACTCATGCTTCAATCACACACAATGGTTGTGCAAGGTGGGCCACGCACCAGTGTTTTTAACTAAATCTGCTTGTTAGATTGCCCATTGGATCTGTGGGAGAAAGACTCAGCCCTGCACCGCATCCTTCTGTGAATGGAACCTCAACATCAAGTACGAATGGCCCACTGAGACCCAAGAGCAACTTCTCTGTGGCTTTGAGAGGTTCTGCTCCGCTGGCTCTCGGCACCATGGTGGGAACACTGCCCCATCTCTGAAGCCTGTAGGCTGACTCCTAGGGAGGGTGTCCTGGACACCACACTTCACATGGAAGCTGGAAGAATCAGCAGGGAAGTCGGCCCCGCCTGGCATCCCTCCTCTGCAGTCTCAGGCCCCTCCACCAGGAGAGCTAGGGCAGGATGCTGGGAGGTTAGCCTCAGAACCCAGGTGAGAGCAAACACAGGTCTGTTCCTGAGGGAGTGCTGGACGTGGAAGATTCTGCCTGAGTGTCTGGGAAGGGGCGGCAGCCCAGGCCTTGTCTGGTGCACAGGGTCCAGCCCTGTTACAGCACCTTCAGCACCTGGAAGGCAGCATTCCACAAAAGCATCCTTAGGAACCCAGGAAAAGAAGTGCCTTACCCAGGCACACGTTCCTACCTCAGGAGCCATACCTGGCGTGCAACTGAAGCAACATTAAAGGGTTCAGGCCTGGGAAGGAAGGGGCCAGCCCACGGGTTCCTGGGTGTGAGTTCAGTGACTCTGCTACTGGGGTTTAGCATGACGAGACGCCTAGGGCTCATCAGCAGGGTCTGGGGCATACGGGTTTCTCAGGATTAGTGAGGAGGGCTGGTCACCACACACCACACAGCAGGGCTGCGCCGCTCTTCCAAGCACACAGACCAAGCTGCTCTCTTAGGACTTTCTAATGCTCACAGGGGGGAATTCATTCTCGTCCTCCAGACACACTGGTCCCGTAGCAAACTCATGCTCAGGAATAACCTCTCCTCGGAGCGCCCCGCCGTCCTCAGAATAACCTGGAAACCAAGGGTGAGAAAGAAGGGGCGAGTCGGAGAAAGTCGTGGAGCGGTCTGACTTACAACTAGAGCAACCATGTTGTCCAAGAGTCAGCCCCCACCCCATTTATCCTCCACCCCAGATGCCTAGTGTTTACACCTCTGTAGGATTCTCCGGGAGGCAGTGGGTTAACGCAACTTGCCCATCATCTTTAAGAACCTGTGTGAAGACTCCAATGGCCTCAGATCCCTAGGTGGTACAGATGGCTTTCACTCCACTACTTACTCGAAGGTTGGTCATTCAAATCCACCCTAAGATGCTATGGTGATCTATCTCTGTAAGATTATATGAAAACAAAACCTACTGCTATTGAGTCAATTCCAATGTCTGTCTACCTTGTAGAACAGAGGAGAATGCCCGAGGGTTTCTGATGCTTCTGGAAGCAGACAAGCCTCGTCTTTCTCTCACAGAGCAGCAGGTGGGTTCAATCCACCGAACTTTCAGTTAGTTAGCAGCCCAACACACAACCCACTGGGCCCCAAGATGATTCGTCAGTGTTGAGTCATATCTGACTCAGAGACTCGGTGTAGGGTTTACGCGGAACAGCTAGTGTGTTTGAATTGCTGACTTTGTGGCTTGAAGTTCAGTGCTGATCCTACAGTGCCAGACCTTAAGATGACAGCCATTAATTAAAACCCTACAGAGTACAGCCTCTACTCAGAATCACATGGTGTCATCATGAGCTGGGATCAACCTGACAGCACACCAAAGCCGGACCCACTGAGATCTGGTCAATTCTGACTCAGAGGGTTTCCACGGATGTACATCTTTATAGGGGACCTTGGGGCTGCGTGGTGGGTTAATGTGCTGGGACCACAAGGTCGGTTTGAACTGCAAGGTAGGCAGTTCAAACTTACCAGCCACTCCTCAGAAACTATACGTTGTTGTTATGTACCGTGGAGTCGGTTCTGGCTCATGGTGACCCTGCACAGGGTTTCTGAGGCTGTAAATCTTTACGGGAGCAGAAAGCCTCATCTTTCTCCCGTGGAACCGCTGGTAGTTTTGAACTGCCGACCTTGCGGTTAGTGCCTGATTCGTAACCACTACACTACCACAGCTCCTTCGGAAACCCTGTCCAGGGTTGCTATGTGTCGAAATCGACCCAACAGCAAACAACATCACATCTTTGTAGAAGCGGACAGCCACATCTGCCTTCTGGGGAGCGGCCGGTGGGTTTGAATCACTGACCGTTCGGTTCACAGTGGAATGTTCCTAAGTTGATGGCCCCCAGGTTTGTTTCTGTGTTTTGAGCATGGTCTCACCTGTGAGAACACACTCACCTGGCACCGTGGAGGCTGAAGATAAGCTAGGTCTGGCTACAGTTGCTGCGTAAGACTGAGGTAAGGAAGGTCTGAGGTCATTTTCTTTAAGCTCCTCTGCTGTTGCTGAGCCAAGCAGGCTAATTGCAGCAATTAGGGGGTGGGGAGAAAGAAAGAAATCATTACATATCCCTCCCATCGGCATGAACTGAGGTGCCTTCAAGGGCACGCATTCAGCTTCAAAATGACCCGCTTTTCTGTATGTCACACTCAAAGCCTGGTCCTTGGCTAGTCCTGGTGCCCTCGGGGAGGGCACTGAGACTTGCTAATGTGGAGGGCAGGGCAGGATAGCCTGTCTAGAGCGGGAAGGGACAAGTCAGGCCACCATTGGGTTCAATTTGGTAAACGCCCCAGATACCCATCATGCTCTGGGATAGCACAAGGAGGAAAAGGCCACGCAGGAAGATATCCCATTTTGGATGTTTCCCATCCTGGCGCTTTTCCAGGAACGTCTGGGGCAGGGAGGGCACCTGACACGGGGTCCGCCACCAATTCGAGGTTGCCACCAACTCGAGGTTTGCCTCCGAGACACGGAGGGCGGAGGTATGAAGAGACAGGCATCTTGGTGAAGTGGCAACTTGCCACACCAGCTCTTGAAAGCCTGTCTTTTTGAAACCTAACGTCTTCACCTGTGGGTCTTGATTAAAACGCACTCTCCACCATCCTGAGGGTCCAGGTTGTATATGTAGAGATGTCCATCGGAGGATGCAACCAGCAGTCTGGGCAATTTCTGGATCCTAAGGTAGCCAAGTGAAACATGCCCTATGACTATAACAAAGATGGGTAACGGATGGGCTTCATCTGAGCTTCGCTCACCCCATCACCCCAACTACGGCTCCTGCCACAAACACACCTGCACCCACTGACCCCAGTGCCTGGGTTTCTGGCTGCCTGTGTTCCGCCACGGCAACCTACCCTACGGACCCAGTCTTACGAGGAATGTTAACTGAAAGGTATGTGTACAGGATGTTCGGCCAGCTAAAACGTTAGTTTAACTGAGTGAGATGTTCTTTCTAATCTCTAGAAGTCCCTGGGTGGTACAAATGGGTAACACGCTTGGCTGCTAACCCAAAGGCTGGAGGTTCAAATCCACCCAGAGATGCCTCTTGAAGAAACGTCTGACTATCTACTTCTGAAAGTCAGTCACTGAAAACCCCGTGGGGCACAGCCGTGGTCTGGAAGACATGAGCTGGAAGCTGCTGGTTTGCTTTATCTATCTTACACACACCTGTGCCTTTAGAAGTTAACAGAAAAAGCAACAGTGCAAGCTTAGTTCACCATCTTTGCTGGCTCAATGAAATTGTTTTAATGCTTAAGACTTTCAGTCCACATCATTATTTATCCCTTGATAAAATATTCATGAGCCCCAGAGATGTGCAAAACCTAGACATAAAAATAGGATCAAGAAAAAGACAAGGGTCTCTGGTCTCCCCACTTCAAATCAACTGCTGTGTTTAGATCATATCATCATAACCCAAATGCCCAGGCCAGCAACCTGCTACCCCTAAGAATGTACTGGGGGCTTCCAACAGTTTGTGGGAAAATGGTATCAAAAAGATCAATTTCATTTCTTTGAATTCCATTTTTCCATGAACTGTATGTGTTAACACCAGGCAGTGTGTATGGTTGTGGGGAGGTGCAGGTCTTTGGTTTTGCTTGGCTGTCTTCTTTTTCACATGCCCAGGGAGTTTGTGTTTGGGAGAAGATGAGGAGGCTTCAAAAAGTTGCTGGGAAAACGGAATGAAAAGAGAATGGAATTTTCCCATGAGCTTTTCCACCCCCACCCCCCACCGTGTACACTTATCGATATTTTTGCTTGTTCAGTGAGGGTGGCTCTATACGTACGTTGACAGGGTACAGATGTTCCTTTGCCCGGAGAAATTCAGACGTCCGGTGGCGAAGGCCCTGTCCTGACTCATCATGTCTGACACTTGGGCGGGGAGGTAATTGGCAGCAACCATGAACACCTTGCCCATGTAACCGCTCCAGGTGGCGGGCTCCTCTGGGTGGCTGGGGAAGCAAGGGATGGGTAGATGGGGCGGAGCTGCTGGCACCGCTGCCCGCCCCCGACACACCGAGTGCTGGGTGTCATTAGCTGTGCTCTCCATGGCAGGAAGAGACTGTACCTTAGCATAATGTTCTGCCCACCTGGAACACTGGGGACACATTATCCTGGTGACTGCGGAGCAGCACTGAGGGCCTGCCAACAGCTTCCGAAAGCCACTGCTCTACCACTAGCCGGGTTCCTAGATTGACCACAGAGGGTGCAGGCCCAGGGCCATGGGCTGATATGGGGACTCTCGGAAGGAAGTGCTCGGGGCTCCCAAAAGAACAGAGTGATCTCGATTTTAAGGCCCCTGAGCCAGACTGAGTGGGAAGTTAGACTCTGGACATGACATCCGGGTCGGGAGAGCTATGGCCCACAGCCACCAAGTCCCTGGTGGTTTCCAACAGTGGGAACAGTTCACTGGTACCTCCTGTCACCCAACTTCACCCCAGGATCTCTGCCAGACAAAGGGGGACTGGAGAATGGGCTCAGCATGGAAGCAGGAGGAGGCAGGACACAGAGGACGGGGCTACTACATCCACTCCCAGAAGTCCCTGCGGAGAGCAAGGCCCCTGTGAGGACACACAGAGGTTCTGGGGTTGATGCCTCACTCTGCTACCACTTGGCTAGGTGACTGTCGGGAAACCTCTGTTTCCATCTGGTGTCCGGCTGCTCAGAGTCTTTGATACTAAACCTCAGGGAGTTGTGGGTGCCGCCTGCCCCAGAGCTGTGTGCCCAGATCCGGCATTCACAGTGTGGGCCGGACACAGATCCAGAGACAGCAAACAAAGACCACTGTGGAGGGGTGGCCAACTGGCAGACGGAGAGTCTTCATGGCTCTGTGCCATGTGTCCCATCACCTGGGTGCGCCCTGGAACCCATCCGATAAGGCTGCTAAGAACATGTGGCGGGCTTCACGCAGTGCCTGGCAAACAGCAGATCCCATTCCATGAGGAAGAGGGATGAAGAGGCCCGGAGGCCAGGGGCCGGCCGGCTTCAGAGCGAGGTGGATTCAGGAGACAGGAGCAAGCGGGTCTGGCAGAGGTGGAAGAGCCCAGAGCACTACAGCAGAGGACTTACCGCAGGACCCACTGAGGAGTCAGAGAAGTTGGAACTTTATTCCCCAGGGCAAGGGAGGGGTTAGGAAGAGAGCTCTGTGAGAAGACGCAGGGTCAGCTGGTCAGCAGACTAGGAGGAGTGAACCCAGATAGAAGGTTAGTGAACAGACCAGACAAGAGATGCTGAAGTCTTGGAGAGAGGCAGCTGGGAGCCCATACTCAGGGACAGCACATACTCCTTGTGTGGCTGAGGGCAGACTCCGGAGCAACTCTGTGGTTTTCACTGGCAGAAATGGGGAGGTCTGGAGAGGGCACTGAGTTCTAACGGCTGTTTGCAGCTTGAAGCCCCTGGTAATACCCCTATCAGTCAATTCATAAGACTTTCGAAAATGGATCGGTAAACTAGAGAGGCACTAAAACTGAGGAGGACCGTTAATGAGACGGCTAACACAGCAGCTAACAACGGACGGAAACAGAACAAGGACTGTGTGGATGGAGCAGGACTGGCCCGTGTCTCCTTCTGCTGTGCACGCGGTTGTAACGGACTCATTGGCCCCTAACAACCACCACAATCCATCCACGGGGAGACATGGCAAGATGAGAGACTGCCAGTCACCCAGTCCTGGGGTCTCTTGACCATTCCACTACCTTCAGCGCCCAGACTGACTAAGCAAATGAGGAAACCAAGTGTGGCAGAACTCTGGGCTTAAGGTTTACGAGCTGCCTGAAGAAAGGTAGACAAGGGATATGGATCACCTGTGGGAATGTTTGCAGAAGAAGAAGATTCACAACACCAACAAGGAGCCCTGGGGGATACAGACATTGGGATGGTACAAGGGGACAGACAGACGTATGTGAGACGACAGCAGCCCAGGATGGCCAATGCCAGGGGTCGAGGCTTCTGGACGGATGGCCAAGTCCACTGGGTAGTGACTTGGTTGCCGGTGACTTTGGGATGGTTTTCAGACTACGGGGAAGAGGCCAGGGCACGTGTATGTTTATTTATTTATTTAGTGCTTCCTCTATGCCAGGCACTATACTAATGCTTTGGAGTCCTGGTGTGGTGCTGTGGGTTAATGCGCTGGATTGGAACGTCGCTTTAAACTGCAAAGGTGGCGGTTCAAGCTCACCAGCTACTCCTTGGAAACCCTACACAGAGGCGCTATGGGTTGGAACCAACTCGACGGCACTTAACAACAATATACTAAATGCTTTCGATCAACTAACTCATTTAGTTATCACAATAGACCTAATGTGCATATACAAGGGGGCTTCTTATGTTTGTTTGTGGAAAAGTCCATCATCCTTTAATTCCAACTTTTTTATGCTCATTTTACAGATGAGGAAACTGAGGCATGGAAAGATTGACTTACTTGCCCAAGGTCTCTCAGCTCACGGGACAAAGTGAAATGGGATTTGGGACAGTGGCCCAGGAATGTGTGCTTTTTCCCGTTACGCCACGAGGTTTTGCTACTGTAGCTCAGCACTTAGTGAAGACACAACAAGCGAAGCCACATTAAAGATAAAGAAGTCACTGATACTGGCAATGATGGTGGGACAGACACCTAGGGCCTGGTCTCTGTCATCTAGCGGGTGTGTTAGGGGCTGCTGTGGTCTACTTGCCTGTCGGTAACGTGGCCCAGCTTGAAGATGTGCACGGTCTCGGTGTTGCTGGAGGCGCAGAGGAATTGTGAATCCATGCTGAACACCAGAGAGCTGATGGTCACATACCTAAAACACAGCGACACGCGGCCAGTGAGCGGGAAGGCGCTGCCTTCCCACTCACCGATGAGCTGTGGGAGAAAACACAATCTCTTCCGAGCAGTACTTGGTATTCTAAAAGCCCTCCAACATTATGCTCTTCCTATTTAGAAACTGGATTTCTGGTGTGGCTCTGTAGGATCAACACTGGACCGCGAAACACAAGGTCAGCCGTTCAAACCCACAAGCTGCTCCTCAGACACCCTACATGGGATTCCTGTGAGTCAGAAACAACTCGATGGCACTTTACAACAGCAACATTTAGAAATTAATCTAGAAGGTTCACAAAAGGACAAGGTCTCCAGCAGCCTCAGGAGGGCAGACCTGCCCCACACTGTCACCTGAGAAGCCTGGGGGCTGCTCCATGCACCCACCAGCTCCAAACCCTACAAGCTGACACCATCTCAAATAATCACACTTTGTGGCCGGCTGCGGTGACATCAGCTTCAAGTTACAGGGCCCTCGTTCCCCCACGCACAACAGGACGAAACGCTGCCAGCCCCGTGCCAGGTTATGGATCAGGCCTTTGTGGTCCATAGGCTTGTCCCTGGCTGATTTTCAGAGGCAGATTCCAGGCCTTTTTTCCTAGTCTGTCTTAGTCTGGGAGTGTTCCGAAAATCACTTCAGCCTCCTAGCAACACACACGCTTACACTGGGAGATGGCTGGCTGCACTTGAGGTATGCTGGCTGGCAACAAAGCCAGGCTTCCTGCATGGAAGATTCACGGCTGACCACCGAGCCACTTCATTCCAGGGAATTACTCTGGGATTGTGAGCCCTCAGCTCTTGCACGTCTCTTTTGCCCACATCCCCATCAGGGCGCTGATGGAGGAAGTCCTGTACATACAGTTCTGTGCTCTCAGCTTTATCAAGCACTAAACGGGTCATCCACAACTGAGGGGCCCTGGTGGCGCAATGGCTAAGCACTCAGCTGCTAACAGAAAAGTTGGCGGTTCGAACCCACCGGCGACCCTGAGGATGAAAGCTGTGGCGGTCTGCTTCCATACGTATCCTCGGAAGCCCTCTTGGGCCATTCTACCCTGTCTTCTAGGATGGAGTTGGAATGAACTCAAGGGCAGCCGGTATAAGCCAATTACCTGAGAAAGCAGTTAGACTCCCTCTCGCCCTCCGCCCTGGCCCTCGGGCTGCCAGCTGTCCACTGCAGCGCTCCTAGGGGAGCTCTGAGTGGGTCTGACCATGAACACACACCTTTTCATTCCCCTCCGGAACTCATACAGCTTCTGCCCGTCAGGCACTGAGAACACCCGGATGACTGTGCCCTGTAAAGAAAGCAGAGAGTGTCTCAGAGCTACATGGGCTCCCAACAGCGCTTCCCTCGGAGGGAAGCTTGTGGTTTGGGTGTTGAACATCTGTCCCGGAGGAGGAAACTCAAGTGTTGACTGTGTGCACCACATACGTAATTCTTGGAACGTGTTTCCAACACTCTTGGGCTCCCTCTTCCTCCTCCACCCCTCAAGCTCTCTCTGTGTGTGTATGTGTGTGTGTGTGTGCGCGCGCGCGTGTGCTTTGCTCAAACTGCTCAGACTTTCCTAGAATATCCAATCTCCGCCTGCCAAAATACACCTGCTTCTCAGGGCATCTGCAGTTCCATGAGGTCACCCTCTGCTTATTCCAATGTCCTGCTGGATAGCAGGGCACTGTTTATCTGGCACGTCTGTCTGTGGATGGCGTGCACCTATTTCTTCACAAGAGCACCCAGTTTTGTCCCCTGTGCCCAGTCTCCTGCAGCCTCTGGGCCATGCAGGTCAGCCCTTGACCCTGCGTTGTTCGTGAATGAGTTTTATGCCATGACATGCAGGGACCAGACTGGCATTCTCATCCTTCAGATGTGTGGGTACCGTCAGAGCTGCTGCCGAAGTTCTGGGGCGCCATATGGCGTAGACCTAGGGTTCCACTCACCTTCTCCGATGCGCTCGCCAGCTTGGAGCCCGCTGAGTTAAAGGTAATGGCGGCCAGCAGCCCCTCGTGGGCAGCGATAGTACAGACGGTTTTCTGTTGGCAGAAAGGAGACACTGGTCCTGATGCCCACCCAGGGTTCAGGGTTCATTGTCCTCCTCCATTCTGTCTCCTTGGGAGACAATGCCCCCAGGGGCTGGGCTCTGTTTCCCCGCCAGACCCCTTGTATTCGCCCACAGACGCCGTTTATGCCCCCATGGGCTCAGCTCTTGCTCTCCCCGCAGACCCTTTGCATACCCCATGGGGTGGACTCTGCAATGAAGCAGCGCATTGTCTGATGCATCAAGATCTTCTCCGTTTCTACCCCGGGGAGGTGGCCACCCACCTGTGTGCACACGAGGCCCCAGCGGAACCCCACAGCAGTGCTCCTGCCCTGTGTGGCCTGGGAGACCAGACACAGGAGGTGTGAGCGAGACCCAACCCAGGAGACACTGTCAAACTGACAGCCACCTTCAGTTGTCGGGGTCTCCACGTACACGTGTCCGACTTGGCCGGGCTGTTATGTGGACAGAGGGTGAGCCCCTGAGCAAACCCAGCTTATACACAGTCATCCCCTTCCCCAGGGCCACCCCCTGCATTGTCACTTCTGCCTCTGTCTCCTCATTGAGTTCCTCCAGCCACACTGCCCAGGAGGCTGCCAGGGCCTCATCTGGACCATCCAACTCACCAGGGCATTTCCGTCATAGAGCACGATCTCTCCTCTCACCAGGCTTCCAGGATAGGCCAAGTAGGAATTGGAATGGTTGATCGACAGGGCACAGAGACCTGGAGAAGCAAGCCCAGGTCAATGAGAGGCGCCAGCACAGCAGTGCCACCTACTGGTGAGGGGAGGAACGGCTTCTAACGCTGGCATTTAGAGTCAAGAATTCTAACCCAAGGATGGCAACACAGTACACTCACAGGGGACCTGGCCACGTCCTCTCACCAACCACGCCGTCCAAATTGAGAATGCTAAAAATGTTCTTCATGTGTCACCCCAGGGCTCTGAAACAACACCTGCTGGTTTCCAGTTCCTGCTGCCGTCTGGGGCTATAAGACAGCCTACTCATAAACTGGAAGAAAGAACCCTATTGTTCTAAAGTCAGTATCTGTGAGCCGTTCTTCAGGTGATGAAATAGAGTTAACAAGTGATTGCGAATGGGAAAAAGGGAAGTGGGATCCAGAGGGCCTGCTTAAGACACCGCTCGGATCTAGATGTCCCACCCTTAGAAGCAAGGGTGTCTGGGAAGTGAGTTCCATCTCGAAGCCCCGGGAGACGGTGTACACGCCACCCAACAAATGGAATCATGAGGACAGTGTGGCTTTCAGAAGCTTCGACAATGCTTTGGAAGAGTAAGCAGCCACTGGAACCACGGAACCGACAAAAGCCATTTTATTGAAGACATGGACGGTGGTGGTAGTGTGTGTGGGGGGGGTGGTAGACCAAAAGAGCATTAGGTTTTTACAACAACAGCTTTCGTCAAGAGAGGTAACCATACTGGCAATGTACTCAAGGAATTCCACAGAACCAAGTGCTTACCACAACAGGAACTGCTGAGAAAATGATGCTGAGATAGCTTGATGAGTAAAGTGAAGGATGATGTCTCATTATCAACTAGTGCACTAAGTGAGCTTCTTATAAAGGAATAAGCAAAGCTTTCAACCAGGCTGGCATGTACTTAATCTGCTGGGTGGGGAGGAAGGGCAGAGAAGAGGAAAGTCATGGCCATGATCAGAACCGAACTTCTGCTCCTGCTATGGCTTTGCTGAGCACACAACCAGGGCTGTCCTCTTATCAGCTGCCACTCAGACCTCCGAGAAGAAGGGGACTGAGCCCCAGCACCCTTTACTACTGTTCCCTTGTATATTTGAGGTCACACCGGCCCTGGTCTTAGAAAAGACCACTGACATCTTCCCCGAATTGCCCTGGCTCCCTGACTCATCATCGCTCTTCAAGGAGACTAGCTAGGCAGGCTGGAGGTGTGCTGGTCTGGAGAAACTGGGCAGAGAAGCTGAGCAGGAGACTGGACTGGCTCACAGGGTGGCTGCCCACAGAGATGGTTAGCAGAGGCTGCTAAGATCAGGATGGGGCAGCTGTGGTGAGGCTTGAGTGCCAAGCCAAAGAGTTAAGATCTTATAACGTGATCGTAGTGGACAACTACTGAAGGCTTCTTAGCACATTGGTTTCTAAGAAGGCTTTTTGTTGTTAAGTGCTGTTGAGTTGATTCCTCCAAGGAGGAGCTGGTAAGCTTGAACCACTGACCTGGCAGTTCAAATGGCTTTGCAGTCTGGCACATTAACCCACAGGTGTTGTTGTTAAGTGCTGACAAATTGGTTCTGACCCATAGCGACCCTGTACAGGGTTTCTGAGACTATAAATCTTTATGGGCGCAGAAAGCCTCATCTTTCTCCCGCAGAATGGCTGGCAGTTTGGAACTGCTGACCTTAAGGTTCGCAGCCCGATTCGTAACCACTACGCTACCAGAGCTCCTTGGTCAAAACCATGAGATGCTTTTTCATCTCCATTGTTAAGTGCCATCGAGTCAGTTCTGACTCATAGTGACCCACTATAGGGTTTCCAAGGAGCAGCTGGTGGGTTTCGACGCTAGCCTTGTGGTTAGCAGTCCAGTGCTTATCCTACAGTCCCACACCAGGACTCACCTCCACTAGTATGGATACAATAATAATAATCAAGCAGTTCGTGACAAATGTTGGCAAGAATGTGGAGGGACTAGAATCTCTCTACACCTGTGGAGAGACTGTAAAACGGGGCAGTTGCTCTGGAGAACAGTCCGGAAGTTCCTTCAAAGGTTCAACATAGAGTTATCATGTTGTTAAGTGCCGTTGAGTTGGTTCCAATTCATAACAACCCTGTATAGGGTTTCCGAGGAGCAGCTGGTGAGTTTGAACCACTGACCTTGCGGTACAGCACCACACCAGTTACTATTGTTGTTGTTATGTGCCGTGGAGTAGGTTCTGACTCATAGCGACCCTGTACAGGGTTTCCGAGGCTGCAAATCTTTACAGGAGCAGAAAGCCTCATCTTCCTCCCATGGAACAGCTGGTAGTTTTGAACTACCGACCTTGAGGTTAGCAGCCCGATTTGTAACCACTACGCTACCAGTTACGATAGGACCCAGCAATTCCACTCCTGAGAGAAACAAAAACCTAGGTCCACACAAAAACTTGTATGTGAAGTTGCCAGCAGCATTAGCCCTCTGAAGGCCCCACACGGGAATCCAAATGTCCACCAGATGATGAATGGATCATTACAACGTGGTACACCCATGCACTAGAGTATTACTGGGTAACAGGGGAAACTGTGATCTAATATAGACCAGAGCATGGATGAAGCTTGAAAGAAGCCCCAGTGGACAATATAGATCCTATAAGTTCATTTATACAGGATGTGTAGAAGAGGCAAGTCTACAGCCACAAAGGACACGGGTACTGGGGTGACGGCTTAGGGTGATGGCTGAGAGGAGCAAGGTTTCTTTTTGGGGTAATGAAAATGTCAAAACATTGAGAAAATGTTCTAAAATTGATAGAGGTGATGGTTTTACAGCCCTAAGAATAAACTAAAAGCCACAAAGTGTATATTTTAAACGGGTGAACTGCACAGTATAGGGATTGCATAGCAATAAAGATTTACGAACGTTTATCTGGCAGGGCGAGTCCTGGTGTGGCGCTGTGGGTTAGTGTACTGGACTGCAAAATCGTTTGAACCACAAGGTCGGTGGTTCAAGTTCACCAGCCGCTCCTCGGAAACCCTATACAGGGTTGCTATGGGTCAGAGCTGACACGACAGCATGAACAGCAGTAACAACATCTGGCAGGGTCAGGCTGAGGGTCTGGGTTCTAGACTCAAGTCTGCTGCCGGCTATGGGACTCTAGCCCAGTTCTCTGGTCCTGCCAGGCCGTTTCTTCTCTGCAAGCTCTGTGCAGCTGTAACATGCAAAGATGTCACATCTTGGTTTACTTGCCACCTTCCTCTGAAAGTCTCAGGCTCATCTTTAAGGCAGACTATGGAGTCCTGGTATGGTGCTGTGGGCTAATGCATCAGATTGCAAAGTCGTTTGAACTGCAAGGTTGGTGGTTCAAGCTCACCAGCTGCTCCTCGGGAACCCTATACAGGGTCGTTATGGGTTGGAATCGACTCGATGGCACTTAACAACAACAACAACAAACTGCCATGTAGGATTACTAGGCGTCAGAACCAACTTGAAAGCAGTGCGTTTTGGTGTCCTTTCATTCACACTGCTAGGCAGTACATATCCCATAAGAGGCTGCAAAAGTCTACCAACTACTGGGGTCTGGTGTTGGGAGATGGTTGGTGGAGATTTCCACCCTTCACTGCTTGGTGCATGCACTGCTGTGTACCAGGAAATGAGCTCTGAGCCGCATCTGGCCAAACTCTCGAAAGGAAGAAGCCTGCCGTCTGACACAGCAGGAACGGGCATGACACAAACAAAGACAACGGTCAGGAAATTTACAGCCGCACCGGATACTGAGCACATAGCAACGGCAGGACTCCGGGCATCGAATTCATCATTCGTTCATGAAGTCAAGATGTAGTCACGAGTTTTGTGTGAAATCCATTAGGTGAATTAGATGAGTGCTTCTTGCTTCTGTGAGCACTCACTGTGGATGTGTGTTATCACAAGTCAGAGTTTCTGTCTTGTATTTTGAATGAACTTGAGAATGATCATAAGTAAGAGAGACCCACTCTCCACTCGATGGCCGCTAACCACAGTGGCTTGGCATTTGAGGCAGACACGGGGGCGAGGTAGCAAAATTCGCACCTTCCATGAGGGAGACTGGGGTTCGAGTCCCAGCCAGTGCCCCCCAAGCACAGCACTGCACACCGGTCAGTGGAGGCTGGTGTTGCTGAACAGGCTTCAGCGAAGGCGCTCCACTCAGATAACTAGCAGGAAAGGCCTGGAGACCTCCTTCTAAAACAGCCCATGAACATTCTACGGGTTACAAGGGTCTGATCCACCAGTAGTCCTGGGGATGGTGCGGGGGTGAGCAGCATTTGGTTCCATTGTGTGTGGCGTCTTCATGAGTCTGTGACAACTTGACGGCAGTTAACAATAAACAGGCATCTGAAGACTTTACAGTCATATTTGTGGCAGTCCACGAGTCCTTGGAAGGTTCTGGAGTGAGGGGCTGGTTGCGTCGTGTGTGAGGTCACCCTCCAAGATGGCAGCTGGTTTAGAGAGTGAGCCTGCCTGACCACAGCATGTCCACAGCCATGGGCCCTCTCCTCACTTGCCCGCCATATGCTCGATTACCCCTCCCCAGGCTATCTCTGGGGGGAAACTGTATCCTCTCAATTTTACTAAAGAAGACAGTGAGGGATAAAAGTGAGGACTGGTGGGAGTCTTGGAGTGGCACTGTAGTAGAAGCACCTGACAACTACCCGTAAGGTCAGTGGTTCAAACCTACCTGTCGCTCCTTGGAAACCCTATGCAGGGTCACCATGAGTTGGAACCAACTCAATGGCATTTAACAACAAAAAGAGGCTTATCTCTCCAGACAATGTCAAAGGTCTAATAACACATTTTGGTCAACCCTCCTCTGCTGGTTTTCTAGAAGACAATGCTAAGTCTGCCCTTAAATCCATTCATGGCATTCATGTGCAATAGAGAAAAACCCTTTCAGTATTTATTAAATAGTTCCGAAGAAAAAGAAAATCATTCCATTTATAAATAAATATGTCACGTTCTCTCCAACAATAAAGCAAGGATTGCCCCTATGCTTTCAAGCCATCTTTTCTCTCTGCTTAAACTGCACACCACGAGGCAGTGTATGAGCTGAAGGAAAATGAATTCTATTTGCTGAAAAGCCTTGATGGCTTTGAGGGAGGGAAGCTAGCCGGGGCGCGAACCCACATACGCCTCCTCTGCGGGCACCGAGTGTGCCCAGCCCTCGCTCTGAAAAGACTCTGAGCAAAGGCAGCCGTTGACGTTCTGTCTGCTGAACGTCCCTTCCCAAGTCCATCACGGTTTGGCCCAGGCCAGCCCTTCATGAGAACCCTGAGTCGCTGGCACCTTACACCAACTGTTACTGTTCTTGCTGTTGGCTGTCCTGACGTGTGCCCCTGGCTCATCCCCATGGTCAGTGCAGATTGGGTCACAGTGATCACAGCGTTTCTTAAGGCTGATTTTTGGAAGTGGATCACCAAGCATTTCTTCCGATTGTTTTAATCCCAAAGTGCTGCTAGAATCTGCTCAGCGTCATAGCGACACCCAGGACTCCATTTGACAGCCAAGCAGTGCTGCACATGAGGGGCACTGGCCAGGAATCAAACCCGGGTCTCCAGCATGGAAGGTGAGAACTCTACCACTGAGCCATCACCACCCTCTTCACATCCTAGTTGTTGTTAAGTGCCATTGAGTTGGTTCCGACTCACTGTGACCCTTTAACATCTTTTTGGTAGCAGAAAGCCTCCTCTTTCTCCCATGGCGTGGCTGCTGGGCTCAAACTACAGACCTGGGGTTGTGGTTCACAGTCCAGTATTTATCTTTATTGCTGTTGTTGAGTGCCATCAAGTCAGTTCTGATTCATAGCGACCCTGTATAGGGTTTCTGAGCAGTGACTCGTGAGTTTGAACTGCTGATCTTGTGGCTCAAACCGACCTTGCGGTCCAGTGCTTATCCTACAGCACCACCCCAGGACACCTACTCTTCATTAACCAGTGCTAGATTCTGTGAGATGAGCAAAGTCCAACATCCCAACACGTGTCACCCAAGTCGAGGTATTTCCATGTGTGATACGACAAACGCTGGAAGGTTCTGATGGCCTTTCTCCTAGTTATGTTAGATGTTACTAAGTCAAAACCTGTTTCTAATGATTACACTTACTCTATGCAACACAACCACAAAAACAATGATGAGAAATAAACAGCCCCTTTCAACATCAGGCGCATAAAATCATCTACTCAGTTATCTGAAAGCACTGGACACGTTGGCTGAGACGAAGGGGGTTTGTCTGGGCCTGTGACGAGGGCTGCTCAGTCCTCCTGCAGGACACACAGCCTGCTGGAATTGTATCTGCACCAGGAAAGGGACACCCTGCAAGGTCAAGGCCCCCCAGACTGTAAACCTGAGCAGGACTTCAGGTGTCCAGGTAAGGGTGACAAGCAGCTGAGGGACCTGCGACTCAGACGCTGGTGCTCACCTGTCGGGTTGGCAGGGATGTCCAGGATGGTCTTTAGGAGCTTCATGTCTTTGATGTTGTGAATGTAGATAGATTCCTCCAGGCATACCAGCAGCCTCTGCAATCACACAGATTGATCAGAACGGACCCAACCCAAACCCTGACCTCGCACAAAGTCCTACCAGTATCCAAACCCTCAAGGAGAGAGAATCTTGATGGTGCAGTTTGAAGACTGTCTTTACGTATGCACACACAATTCTCTGCTAATAACAGAAAATATGAGATCTTAACAGATTTTATTCAGAAATTGAGATTTCTTCTTCTTGGATTTTCCCCTTTGCTGACAACAAGGATTCTAAATACCCTTTGCCAGGACTCCCAGTGTGGCACTGTAGGATCAGCACTGGACTGAAAACCACAAGGTCGGCAGTTCAAACCTACCAGCTACTGGGTCACTATGAGTTGGAAGCGATTCAATGGCGCTCAATAACAACAGTGGTCTCGTTGCCACAGAACACTATCTAGGGCTGCCTTTCTGACTGGCAGGCCCATCAGACAATGAACATAACAAAGTTCTGAAGAATCACCAAGCCTGAAGCTTTATCCCTCTCCAGAGAATTACCAGCCTTAACCTCTTTCCATTCCAAGTCCTCCAGAGCCACTCCCTCCCAGTCTGGAATTCCAGACGCTCCCCCTTAAGGAAGTCCCTAATCTCATTCACAGTGGGTGTCTCCTCCCTGGGCCTCTGTGCAGCCTCCTCCAGCCAGCCTTTGCTTGGAGAGCTGGGTCTAGATGCTGTCCCCTCCCCCAGTGGTGCAGGCCTTTCCCACCCATTCCCAATGAAAACTTGTCAGGTTTAGAGCTTTCTTCCAAAAGTCACTGGGATCCCTTTGCGGGGGAGGAGGGGGAGGGTACCAACAAAAGGTGGCACCAAGAAAGAGAAGCCTGGCCATCTATCTACTGCTGTAGGTTACAGCCGAGAACAGTTTAAGAAGTAGGGAAGCAGATACATTCTGTAACACAGGAAGTTACCATGAATTGGAATCAACTCAATGGCACTGGGCACCCCCACAATCGTCACCCCCACTGTCTGCTCAGTGGAAATGGGCCCTAAGAGGTCCCTGTGTCTGCTGTTTAGAGGAGTGTGATATTGCACAATGTCAGGCTGTCCTGGTGAGGAGTCGCTGGCGAAGAACTATAGGTCTGGCAGCTCTTTCCACAAGGAACAGTCACCCATGGCCCCTGCACGCGGAGCCTGGTGTTGCTCTTTGAGGACAGCCATGAGCAAGCCCTAGTCACACTTCCTGGAGGGTCTGATCTGTGAGGGCTCTGAAGAGCAACCCCAGGGTGATTGAGACACTCACCTTTATTCTAAGGGACAACAGTTGGAAAGAAGAGTTTCTAAAACCACTACTGGATATTAAGACAAGCTGTGGAATCTCTGTTTGAATCATGCCAGTCCTATTGCTGACCCAGCAAGACTCACGCAGCTCAGACAGACGGACCAGTGACATGAGCTAGACAGAAAGGCAAATCAGAAACCCTTTCTCCCCGTGAATGCAAGCTCTGTGGACCCAGGTCTCAGAGAGGGTGTGTGAGGAATCATAGTTCTCACCAGGTCCAGGGCCCGAGGACAAGAGACATCAGTGTTTGTTCACAAGGTAGTTCTCTGATTTGCTGGTCATTTTCCCTCTTGGCAAAGAGCTCTGGTAGCGTAGTGGTTACAAATCAGACTGCAAACATCAAGGTCGGCAGTTCGAAACTACCAGCCATTCCGCGGGAGAAAGATGAGGCTTTCTGCTCTCGTAAAGATTTACAGCCTCGGAAATTCTGTGCAGGGTCACTATGATGAGTCAGAACCGACTCCACGGTGCTTAACAACAACAACAACTCCCTCTTGGCAAGGAGCTCTGGTAGCGTAGTGGTTACAAATCGGGCTGCAAACCTTAAGAGTTAGCAGTTCGAAACTACCAGCTGTTCCGCGGGAAAAAGATAAGGCTTTCTGCTCCCATAAAGATTTATAGCCTTGGAAACCCTGTACAGGGTCGCTGTGAGTCGGAACCGACTCTCTGGCACATTAACAACAACAACAACTCCCTCTTGGCAGTACTTACTGCTGTCGCTGGGGCTGTCACTAGCTGCTGGTGACGAGCTTGTGTACCACAAGCTAAAACCTTCTCCACGATGGATGCTCAATGGCTCAAGTTCACTGTGTCACCCCATCTCACGGTGCACTCTGCTCATTTCTATGGACCCTCTGCTTGATCAGACATGATGCTCTTTCTAGTAACGGGTCTTTCCTGGTGATGTGTGCACGTAGAGTTTGCAATGCGCTGTGAATGCTCACGCTCTCGGTTTCGGTTTCTAAGACCCTCCGGTATCCCGCCCCTACACCTCACTGAGTCCCCACGAAAGGGTCCTGCCACACAGGCCTGCTGCAGGAATAGTATCTGGCTCCAGCTTGCCTGACCTGATCTGTCTTTTCCCACCTTCTGCTCTGTGGCCCTCTCTCCAAGTCACAGAAGACATTGGGAAGAACAAGGAGATGCTTCATCGCTGGTTCATGCTTGTGATGTGGGCAGATGGTGTGCTTGGGGACTGTCTAATCGGTGACCCCATGAACAACAGAATGAAGCGTTACCTGGTGCGGCGCCACCTTCACATGCAGGTCTGCTAGAGTCGATGGTGGCAACCCCTGAGTATTTTTAGTGCCTTCCAACCAAGGGCGCTCAGCTTCCAGCACTCTGATTCACAGAGCTTTCGCTGACTCATTTTTGGAAGCAGATCCAAGTCCTTCTCAGTCTGGAAGCTCCGCTGAAACCTGTCCACCACAGGTGACCCTGCTGGTATTTGAAATACCATCGGCGTAGTTTCCAGCATCACAACAACACACAAGCACCAGGGTAGGACACACTGGCAGATGGGTGTTCCCTCGTAATTACTTTCCTTACCGTCAGCATCTCAACTCGGCGGGACCATGTACCACCTTCACCTCAGCTCATTACCCGTCATCCCTGGGGCTCCTCTCTACTTTTATAAGGTTTATAAGCAATAGTTCTTCTGATCCATTTAGAAACGTATTTCGAGCTTCTACTTTGAGTACCACGGACTTCACTTCAGGGCTTTTCATTCAACCAGCTTCCGTGAGAACAACAAGGGACCCTCAGATCAGACAGTTAACGAACACACTGAAATTCATCTGATTTGCTGCTATAATTCTACAAGACACATTCCCTCAATTACATAGAAGGGGAATAACAACTGGAAAGGGAAAATATCACAATTTCTAGTAGAGTAGTTAGTCTTCCTCTCTGTACAGTTAGAGAAAATACAGAGTTTTGCTTTCTCATAATTCCTCACGCAAAACCTCAATCTTTTCCTGTTGTTCCTCCACTCCCACCCCTAAAGGAGCTGAACTACCTGAAACTGGATAAAGCAACAGCTGACTACCAGGGAACAGAACATGTTGCCTTCTGTTCCCCCCAAGCCCGAGTGGGCAGCAAAGCCTCGGGCACTACAGTGGACCCCCACCTGGGAAGCAGGGGGCTGCTGTACTCAATCTTTACTCATCCTTACTTTATCCAAAGCTGTTAAGTCCTAAACCTGCAAGCTTTAGGAAAAGCAAACCCAAACATACTTCCAGACGTTTCCAATCAGTGAGAACAGTTAGATTGCACTCTGATTCGTTCTAGCCTTAATTGTTACATAGTTCTCGGTACAGGAATGTCCTTTTACGGATGGGGGATGAGAACCTACCCATTAATGAGTGTTACTGGGAGAGTCAAGTCCCTGGTGGTGGGACAGTTTATGTACTTTGCCTTTGAAATGAAAGGCTGGGAGTTTGATTCCACCCAGAGGTGCCTCAGAGAAAACGCCTGGCAATCCACTTCCCCAAATATCGGCCATTGAAAAACCTATGGAGCACAGTTCTAGTCCAACACACGTGGGGTTTCCATGAATAGAATTAATTTGAGAGCAACTGGTTTACTGAGGGGAGGGCCAGCTACTCAGGGTTAGGCGGCCACAGAACTTGAGTGATGCTTGCTTCATTTGCTAATGAATATCAGAGAGCGAATGAGGGAGGCAGTATGCAAATAAATACCATAGCTACTATTTGAGGGTTCTGATCTTTGGTTACTGTGTAGAACATTTGTTCAAACAATCTTAAAAAGATTACCAGATAACCAGGCAGGGGGGAAAAAATGATATTTAGCCTTTGGTTACAGCTACTTATACATGTTGTTGTTGTTGTTAAGTGCCGTCGAGTCAGTTCTGACTCACAGTGATCCTGTATAGGGTTTTTGAGGAACAGCTGGTGGATTTGAACTACCGACCCTGCAGTTCAAACCAAACTCTCGCGTTCCAGTGCTTATTGTACAGTGCCACACCTGACTAGTAAATATACTTTGTATACAAAGGTAAATTCTACAATGAAATTTAATATGCTGCCAACAGATTTCAGCAAACATTTGGACCAACGATTTCACTTAAGAAACAGCCTTCAAGTAGCCAACTCTCAGTGGTCTTCCACTCCTCTGCCAAGAGCCCAGTTTCTTTTCTCTTTACTCCTGTACACCTCACTCAAAAGTTCCCACATTCTATTTTCCAGCTAGCTTCTCCCACGCTGCTTTATACAGACTTGAGTGCCTACTGATCCCAAATAGCTGATCAAGGTGTATACATGTGATGGAGCAGTGCTCAGCCCTAAAGGGACAGGAAGGGAGTCCTTCGAGCCCCGGTGGTATAATGAACTATGCATTGGACTACGAACCACAAGGTCAGCGGTTTGAATCTACCAGCCACTCCATGGAAGAAAGAAGAGGCTTTCTGCTCCTGTAAAGATTTATATGTGATCAGGAACTAATGGTGCTGCACAGAGGATATTTATGAAAAACAAGGCTCCAGGAACTGATGGAATACAAACTGAAATCATTCAACAAACTGATGCTAACACTAGAGGTACTCACTCATCTATGCCAAGAAATCTGGAAGACAGCTACCTGGCCAACTGATTGGAAGAGATTCATATTTGTGCCCATTCCAAACCGAGGTGGTACAACAGAATGTGGAAATTATCACACAGTATCATCAATATAACATGCAAATAAAATTTTGCTGAAGATAATTAAAAAACGGCTGTATCAAGTATATCGACAGGGATCTGCCAGAAACTCAAGCTCAATTCAGAAGAAGACATCAAACTAGGGATATCATGGCTGACATCAGATGGATCTTGGCTGAAAACAGAGAATACCAGAAAGATGTTTACTTGGGCTTTATTGACTATGAAAAAGCTATTGGCATAGCTTGTCATGTGGATCATGACACGCTATGGATAACAGTGGGAAGGATGGGTACTCAGAACACTGGATGGAGCTCATGAAGAACTTGCACAAAAAACCAAGAGGCAGTTATTCAAACAGAACAAGGGGATAGCGAATGGTCTAAAATCAGGAACGATATGTGCCAGAATTGTATTCTTTCACCATACTTACTCAGTCTGTATGCTAAGCACAGAATCCGAGAAGCTGGATTAGATGAAGAACATGGCATCAGGATTGGGAGAAGACTCATTAACAACCTGTAATATGCAGATACGACCTTGCTTGCTGAATACTTACTGATGAAGATCAAAGACTATATATATAGCCTTTAGCATGAATTGCACCTCAATGTAAAGAAAACAAAATTCCTCACCACTGGACCGATAAGGAGATGCAGGGATGGTAAGAGACATTGTCAGAAGGGACCTGTCCCTGGAGAAGGACATCACGCTTGGTAAAGTGAAGTGTCAGCAACAAAAGAGGAAGACCCCCAAGGAGATGGCTTGACACAGTGGCAGCAGCAATGGACTCAAGTTTCACAATTGTGAGGATGACCCAGGACTGGGCAGTGTTTTGTTCTATTGTTCACAGAGTCACTATGAGTCCATGAGTCCGGAGTGACTCGACAGTATCTAACAACAACAAAGATTTATAGCCTCAGAAACCCTACACAGGGTCTCTGTGCGTCCGAACCGACTTGAGAGCACACAACCTCCAGCATCACCACTAAAGAGGAATGAAGGCCTGGAGCATGTCACGATAAAGGTGAACACTGAAGACATTACGTTACGGAAATGCCTTCAGTCAGAAGAGGACAAATACTGTACAGGGTCCACTGGTACGAAATACGCAAATATCAAGAAACCTGAAATTGTTACTGCCACCCCATGGGGGGTCGGAGAAAGGAGGGGAAGGGGATTTATGTTAACAGTGGTGGAATATTCAGGAAAGGAGAATGAAGAAGGCAGCTCTGCATGAAGAACCTCACCCGGGTCACTGATGAACGTTTGGTTGTGTAAATTTTCACCTAAAAAATAAAAAAAGGTGACCAACTCAAATAATCTCTTCTTTCTCCTGAATTTAAGAGAGCCCTTTGTTTTTTATCTATATATTTAAAGAAAAAAAATTAACACTCAATAGTTTAGCTACAAAGAGAGAAAGAAGGATGAGCTTTAATAAATTCAACAGCCCCCACCTTACTTGTTGTCATTAAGTGCCGTCAAGTCGGTTCCGCCTCATAGCGAGCGACCCAGTATGGATTTCTGAGATTGTAAATCTTGCAGGAACAGAAAGCCTGTTTTTCTTCCAAGTAGTGGGTGGTGGGTTCAAACCCCTGACTGTGTGGTTCTCAGTCCAGTACTTATCTTATAGAGCCATTGTGCTCCTCCTCCCTCCTGGTCATATTTAATTGAACAGGCAGATACTCACAGCCATATGGAGATTAGATTTGTAAATTAATTTAGTGGTCAAGAAAGATGCTTAATATACATGCTTCAGGCACTTTCTTCAGTGCTAGGTCCACAGTAGTAAACAGTCTCCAGCCTCATAGGATTTAATCTCCAGTACCAGAAGGCTCCTCAAACGTAACGATGGGGACACTTGGTCTCATGGACTTTGGACATGTGACCCAGAGGACCAGTCTCTAGAGAAGGACTTCATGGTTGGCCAAGTAGAGGGGCAGCAACGAAGACCCTCGATGGGATGGACACAGGGGAGACAACCATTGGCTGAAATATGACAACCATGAGGATGAGGCAAAGTGGGCAGCATGTCCTTCAGTTCTGTACGGGGTCGCTGAGGGTCACACTGACTCGATGGCAACTAACAACAACAAATCCCCAACACTTAGCAAAACAGAAATTTCCATTCTAAAAGAGACTATATTGCATAATTGAGATCAGAATACTCCTTTCAACAAAGAAAGACTCTTCAAGGCTTGGCTAAGAAGGAAGATGGCAGCGTGAAAGTGGTATTGTTGTTGTTGTTAAGTGCCGT